CGGCATTTAGCCATTCCCCTATCTGGGTGTCCCTTTTTTTTTTTTTTTTTTTTTAATTTTTGCCAGAGAGAGAGTGAGAGAGAGGCAAAGTGACAAAGCATCCCCCCAAAGGGGACTGTCACACCACATCCCTTCTCCTCTATTTCTTTGTCCCTTTAGGATTCTGGACATGCTTGCATATGTGCCTGGTATGTTTTTCAGACCACAGAGTCCAGGACTTGAATTGTGTTATCAGTGGTCAGGTGGGGTCCATTGTCTTAACTACCATGCCATTGGCTGGCCCGGGACATCTGTATCATCACCCTACAGCAATAGTTCATTTCTGAAAGTCTCTCTACTTAGCATGCTAACTCAAAGTTGCAGAGCTATGTTTAGCAAAGATAATGTGGGTTTTTCTTTTCTTTCTTTTTCTTTATTTCTTTATTTCTTTCTTTTTTTCTTTCTTTCTTTCTCTCTCTCTCTCTTTCTTTCTTTCTTTTTTTCCTTCCTTTCTTTCTTTCTTTCTTTCTTTCTTTCTTTCTTTCTTTCTTTCTTTCTTTTCTTTCTTTTTTTGTATAATTTGCCATAAGGATGTATGTGATTGCGGGAGAGAGACAGAGATAGAGGGGTAAAGTGAGGAAGCATCACCCCTTGAGGGATGGTCATGCCATAATCCCTTCTCCTCCATTTTTCTTTTCTAGATTTTGGGCATGCTCAAACACATGCCCAGTGTGCTTTTCAAGCTGCTAGGTCTAGGATTCCAACTGTGTAGTCAATCATGTTGGACCAAGCAACCTTCACTATACTATCTGCTGGCCCAAGAATGTAGATTTCTAATTTTTCTTTATTTCATTGAAAATTCAAGTTGTACCAATTTGGACAGGAAATGTTTTTGATTAAAATATTAAGATAAAATTCTGAATAAAGATAAATAGTAGATTATATGTAACTAGCCAAGAATCTAAAATTCTTTATTAAAGGGTAAACCAGATCACTGTTTTTCAAACTGCATTATGGGTAGCTTATTTAGAAGCCACTTGGGACTGTTCTCAACTATGTATATTTGTTGGTGGGTAGAAGGCAGAGCCCTGGAGTTCTTTGCCCTATCTTCTATCAGAGGGAATTCATATTATTTCACATATTGAATTTTAATGTACTCCTGAATAGTCAGATTGATTTTAACAGTCTATACTAACAGAAATCCCATAATTAGATATTTTTATATTAAATACATTTTGTATGTGAATTGTCCTTTATTTTCTGGTTTCAGGTTGTCAAAATCCATAAATTACAGCTCTTACTCAGTGAACAAATCAATTCACCTACAGCAATAATCTCAGTTGTTACATTTATTTCCCCCTATATAGACCCACAGACCTCTTCATCTATGCCCTATGACTGACTTCCACAGCAGTGTTTACAGCAAAGCATCTACATCAGAAAACAGTTCATTTTAGGAATAGATTCATTTCTGTGTTATTGATATCAGTATTCCTAATTCAGTCTTGTCAACTGCTCAGGATTCCAAATGTTGCATTTTACCTGCCTTCATATACCCCCATCAAAAAAAAAAGAAAAAAAAATCCCAAAGTTTTGATTTCTGGTTTAGTTCTTTTCCACCCCCCCTTGCTCTAGGATGCATGCTCTCCAGAGAGAGAGAGAGAGAGAGAGAGAGAGAGAGAAATAGAGAGAGGAAAAGTGAGAAAGCACTCTTGAGCAGGGATGGCCATGCTAAAATCCCTTCTCCTCCATTCTCCTCTCAGGATTTTGGGCACATGCCCAGTGTGATTTTCAAGCCACTGGGTCCGGGACTCAAACTGCACAGCTAGCTATGTGGGATCCAACACTATAACCTTCTTGCTATTGGCTGATGCCAATCTCCATTTTAATTCTTAAATAACTGGTGATGACTCCCTGGCCTCTTCTTTGATCTCTAATAGTCTGTCATGAATTTTCCAGGTTTTTCTGACTTGTTTATAACATAGACTTCATAATTTTCAGTTTGTAGATATTAAGCCTCAAAGACTATCTAGCTGTTCCTATCCCAACCAATGAAGACTTCCAGTCCTATGGCTGTCAATCTTTGTGTAGTACAAGGCTGGACTATGTACTTTTGGTCCAAAGGAAGAAGGACCAGGCAGTTGGTGCAGGCTCAAGTCAATGCTCAAGGGAATTCCATCAGGAATGGAGGTGCTCCAGATCAACAGCCTCCCAAAAGCTATTTATATGGTTTCTGGGCGATAACAACTTTAAGGAAGTGGGAAGGAGACAAATATAAGGAAGAATGAAAAACAGAGATAGCAGGTATTAGTGCTTTGTACAGAGTTTAGCCAATTCCAGCTGCTGGCAATTAACAGGATACTGTTATGTATGTTTGTTTAGTCAAGACCAAGGCACATACTAGTTTAAGAAATAGTCATTATAAGAAATAGTCATTAAGAACCTTGTTAGAATAGACACTCCTCTCTGGATCCTTTTATGTCCACCTATGGACCTCAGTTAAATTTTTAAATCTTTTGAAGAGCTTGGCTAGAAGTTATAATTGTGTTTCACATAGCATTTTAAAAAATAGAATTGTAAGAATCAAAAGTTTTTTCTTTCCTTTTCTCAGAAGTGGGCAAGGCATTGATACATTAGAATTCATGAGAGATTTTTTTCTTTCACTTTTGCTATAAGGACGTGTGGACTCACGAGAGAGAGACAGAGAGAGAGAGAGAGAGAGAGAGAAAGAGAGAGAGGAAATGAGAAATCACCCCCTAGGTGGAATGAGCATGCTGCAATCCCTTTTCTTCCATTCTCCTTTTAGGATTTTGGGTATGCACACACACATACCCAGCATAATTTTCAAGCCACCAGTCTGGGGTTTGAATTGCACAGTTGGCCATGTTGGATCCAGTGCCTTAACCTCCCTGCCACCTGCTGACCCAGATCTCTTCCTTTTTTTTTTTTTTTAATTGTCAAAGGTGTGTTCATGAGACAGGGAGGAAGACCAGAAAGCATACCCCAATGGGTCAAGTTACTTTTATAATCAACATTTAGTCATCACTATGTGAAAAAAATTTCAATTTTGAATTTATTCTTTATGAAAACATCTGCACTTGTTTTTGTTTGCCATGGAGCACATGCGCTCATCAGAGAGCATGGGGTGCTGAATGAGACATCACTCTTCCTCCCAGGGAGGTAGCTACTCTGCATTCCCTTCTCCACCATTCTCCTCTTAGGATTTTGAGCACACACATGTGCACACATGCTTGGTATGATTTTCCAGCTGCCAGGTTCAGGACTTGAACTGTGTAGCCACTCATGTGCACCCATGTGGGATTCAGCCACCTTAATCTACAAGCCACCTGTTAGCCCCTCTATAATATTTACATGTATGAGGGTTTTTTTTAAGTTTATTGTTTAAGACAATATAGTAGGTTGTATCAGGTGGTATAATCTCTTTAAAATTAACTAATTTCTATAATGAGAATTCTTTTTTTTTTGGAGAGGTTTTTGCTATAGGGCGCATGCGCTCACCAGACAGAGAGAGACAGAGAGACAGAAAGCGAGAAATCACCCCCCAGGGGGGATGGCCACGCTGCAGTCCCTTCTCCTCCATTCTCCTCCCAGGATCTTGGGTATGCACGCACACGCGCCTGGCATGAGTTTAAGCTACCAGGTCCGGGACTCAAACCGCGGTTGACTACGTGTGAGTCCAGCGACATAGCCATTACACTAACAGCTGATCCCTATAATGAGAATTCTTAAGTGCATGTTTCTTTCAACCTTTATACTGGAATTCTCCAGATACTTAAAATTAGAAATGCATAATTTCCATATACATTTATATCTGTACTGCATACCTTACAAAACATTTTTTAAAGATCAAAATTCAAAGGATACAATAACATGTCGATCAGATGGGTTTCGCTGACGTGTTCTTTCTAATTGACTTAACTGCTTAGCTTCTCGATTCCTTGCTGTTAATGTGGCTTTGAGGTCATCCTGCAAAAAGACATATTTTTTTGTTAATAAAGATTTCTTATTTAAGAAATAAAATATACACTTTAGAACACTTCTTGGTTGTGGTAATTAATGAGTATACACATGGGAGAATTTTGCTTCATGCAAATTATACTTTAATAAAATGGATTTTTAAAGAATTAATTAATTAATTAATTAATCTATTTTCCAATCTGACCAGAGAAGGACAGAGTGAGAGAGAGAGAAAGCTGCTAGGTCCAGGATTCAAACTGCTGTCAGCCATGGGGGAGTCCAGTGCCCTTAACTACCATGCCACCTGCCGGCCCCCTTAAGTTGATTTTAAAAATAGGACTTTGTCACACTCATTGTAAAAGTAAATGTTATCCCCTGCTTTAAAACAAAAATATAAACATACATTCATTTAGTAAAATAATTTCTATCTATATGTTCTTCATGACTCTAAATATTAAACATTTTAAAGCTTCCAAAATAATGTGTTATACTGCTACTTTAGTATACTTAGTAAACTCAATAAAAATATTTCCTTCTCAAAGATCTAAGAAATGATCTTTTTTTTTTTTTGAGAAGAAATGATCTTTCAAAGTATGTAAAAAGAATGACACTACTTTGAACTTTTATTAAAAGGAGAATGGTGATACCTCATAATGGGAGGGAGAGTGGGTTTACCTACCCGTTTCATTTTTACAATGGTTCCATAAGCTTTCAAAGGTTCAACTACTTTGGCTTCAAGTCTTTCAACCTATTAAAAATCATTATAAAATATAACTGAAAAGAAACATAGACATATCAAAATTTAAATTCTGAAATAAACCTTTGCTGTTACATCTGAACATAATTACTATACATATTAATTTTTTAAAGTTTTCAATTAAAATGGCACTGTTTAACCTACCCTTATAAATGAAGGGATAATTACTAGAAATTGTTAAGACCAGAATCAAAACTCACACATTAAAGACTGTTAAGCTGTAGAGTAATAGTGCAAGCAGAAAAGCATCTGATGTGTAAGATGACCAAAAAATGATACAGGTTTCCAGGGGTTCATCCTTTCCACACTATCATCTTAAATTACTTTTATATCAAAAAGTAGTCATTTTAGGATACGTTTTATGACATCTCAACTTGTAATACAAAAACCATTTATAGTGTGTTTTGAACAGTGCAGATACCTCACAGATACTATTTCTGAACTGGTACTGTCCAATTTTCTAGAAAAAAAATCCACTGAAAGCTAAAACATACTGGAAATATTTAAAGCAATACAATCCTCAAAAGCATCAATGAATTAGCTGCAAGGTTTTCTGAGAAGCCATTCACAAAATATCATTACCTCGAAAGCAAAGTAGTATTGCTGAGTTGTCAAACTGCATGGCTGAGCTCTTTTTTTTTCATTTTGAATTAAAGTTTTCTTACACATTGCATTTTTTTTTTGGGGGGGGGGAGGTTTTTGCTATAGGGCACGTGCACTTGCCAGAAAGACAGAGACAGAGAGACAGAAAACGAGAAATCACCCCCCAGGGGAATGGCCACACTACAATCCCTTCTCCTCCTTTCTCCTCTAGGGATCTTGCGCATGCATTCACACATGCCTGGCGTGAGTTTAAGCCACCGGGTTTGGGACTCGAACCATGGTCAACGACATGGGAGTCCAGTGACATAGCTATTACACCATCTGTTGGTCCCTGTAGTTTTTTTTTTTTTTTTAATCACTACTGAGCATTTCATTTACTAGTAATACTAATGAAAAGCACTAAAGAAACCTCTTTTATTTCTTTTAAAGGCAAGTATTATAAATGTAGCATAAGAAAAAATAAGTCTTGGACATTAAAATTCTTTGGGGGTAGGTAATACAGTGATATATTTAATTGCTTAAAATAAATATTTTCATGGCAAGAAAAGACTCTTCTTTGATACATGTTTAAATAACAAATGAGGATACTTCATTCCATGTTAATGTTTCTTTAGCTATTGTAAACAAAATGCACATACATGTACAATCTTTTAAAAGATTTTAGGAGAGTGAAAAAAATCAAGTTCCCATCAAACACTTAAAAATCACGAAGCTTCAAATCTAAACCATGAATATTCAGGATAGAATAGTCTAAACCATTTCTCATAATCCTTACACTGGCTTTTCAGTATAAGGACTATCTAGTTCTTTTTCTGTTCTCCTTTTTGTTGCCTACCTTTTGTCATTGTTCATTAGCACCTCCACCATTTGGTAAGCAAGGGAAATAAAAGGAGAACAAATGTAAACCAATTCACTTTGCTATTTAATAAATAGCATCAATGTTTCCTAGAAAAGGACATTGAGATTATTGGCTAAAATAGGATTTTAGGATTATCTGTGAAGATAAATTATGTTTAAAACATTAACTCCCCAGTTATCATGTATAACTGAGTTATCAATTACAGAAAAATCTTATGACAAGAATTCAACATTTTCCCAAAAAGTACTGGGATTACTACTCATGTTTTTGTGTGGATAGCAACCAGGGGTCCAAAGATGATTAGTCTCATTTTTTGATAATCGAAATTTGTTTTTCAAGCTTTTAAAAAGGACCAGAGCCAGCAATGAGCAAAGCACAAAATGGTAATACAATTTTAACTGGGTAAACTGACAAATTAACCTGTGTCTCGAAACAGAGAACGAATATAAGTGAAAGTGCTTAGTAGGTATTAAAGATAAAAAGGTGGGTTTTAAGAAAGAAAACAATCACAAGAACAACCTTCCTGGCACCTAAAACAAAAAACAAAAAATCCCACAGTGTGTCACTACTGTTTTGCTTCTATAATATAAACCACAACTGAAGACTATTTTTGGTGAATGAACACCAGTGATCAAGTTCCTAGGGCACAGGAATCAGCGATGTTTCAGATTCATTTATGGTACCCCTCCCAACCTTTCCCATCTCCAGTTGGATTCTGAAGTGTACTTACGTGCACACAAGATATCATATCATGCTTCTTTTCCCCCTCAGTGGTTCTGTTTACCACCCCCTATAAATGGGCCACCCCTTGGCCCAAAGTTGGCAAATGAAGTGGGGAAAATTAAGACTTCAAGATACCCTAAAGTTTAGTTTGAGAATGGTAAAAATAAAATAAACCAGATAAAGTGTCCCTTGAATAGACTCACACAAGGTTACCGACATGAGAATGTACGTTAATCATCAAGTGTGGGTTCGCCACTGCAGTTAGGTAGATTACACTTGGAAAGTCTTCAGGGCTCCTTCATCTGCTACTTCACGGCTCATAACAATGACGCTGTGACCTCACTTCATACCTCGGCTTGTCGATAATCCTGAAGTTTGGCAAACTCATCTGCAAAGTTTTTCAGGCCCTGCTTTAAATGTGGGGTCTCTGTAGAGGCATACACGTTGATTTCATTCACCAAGAGGTCTGCTTTGTCTCGCAGCCTGGCAGTTTTCCGCACATAGGCAGCAAAGATTTGGCACAGCTCTCCAAAATGCTTCTCCACATTTGTGACAGCATCTTGCAGTTGTCTCGTTTGAGCGTCCCTAGAGAAAAAGGTGACAAAATCAAAACATCTCCTTAGAGAGGCGATGGCTTCAAGGCCAATTTGACAAACATTCCCCGGGACATTTTACAATTTCGAAGGGTCAAAATCACCAGCCATCCCACTATCTCCTGAGGCAGTCTCCCATCCTCCAGAACCGGATTCGGGGCCTGGCCTCCCTATCCGCACAGTGAAACTAAGAGGTGCGGGCCGGGAGGGCCCCACCGCGGAGGGCGGCAGCTCGGGTTGCTCTGTGCTGCGCGGCTCGGGCGCCCAGCTCCCATTCATGCTCCAGCAGCGCCCCCGACAGCGTGGGGACCGGAGCCGGGGGGACATGGGGGGGGGATCACCCGTCGGTCCCGG